TCAAGCCGTGTGTGCATGACCCTGCACACAGCTGTAGAGTTCGTGGGTTTGCAGCTCCTGCTCAGCGGCAGATGCCCAGAACAGCAGCCAAAGCGTACACATGTGGTTTCAAGTTGGCAGCAAGTGAATGCATGGGCCAGCACGTGCACATTGTCGCTTGGACTTATTTTTCCAGGAGGTCGCTGGCTCAATTTCGCATCTCCGCAGCGGCAGGGACAACGGCAAACGTCGTGCCTTCTCACTTCTGAAATTCACGGACGTCCTATCTTTGGTATCCGGCATGGTGGATGGCGCCCCCGCTACCGATGACTGCTTACCCTTATCTGATGGCGATGGGGCTTGTAGGGCTGGCCTGGTTCCGATCGAACTGGATGCCCGCCCTAAGCGCCGTCGCCGTGCAATGCCTGAGTTCATACATGTGTTCTCGTACACCGCGTCGCGGGCTAATGGCATGGGCGACGACAGTGGGGCGCCTGCTGACCTTATCGGGCATCTGGATTTGGGCAGCCCCACCGAGCACACAATAACATTGGAGAAACCGAACGCAGATACACAACCTCGCGATGGAGGCCCAGGTTGAGGCGATGACGATGGCGACAAGTCTGCTGACGATTCCTGGGTGGATAAGGAGATGGAGGACCTGCTGGACGCGGGCGGTTTCGGGTTCGCGGTCGGAGCTGATGGGCGTCCAGACGGCGATCATCATCTAGATGGGGAGTCGGAGGCAGAGAGCTTAGCAAGGGACCCTGCTGCCGAGGTCAACGAGGGGGGGGTGGGGGGGGGCGGAGTCCTTGCCCGAGTGGCCCGAGTCGTCCGACGGTAGCAGCGATGACCCTTCGGACGCTGCGCCTGAGGCCGGTGGGCGCGAGGGGATCCAGGTCACCCCCCTCGGCGCGGACATGCCGACTTTCGTGGCTGTTAAGAGCGCGGGCAACAAGGCATGTATTCTAAAAGCTTTTGAGCATTGGGCAAGCACGAACGATGCAGCATTGCCTCTGCAAGATCGCATGACTTCGTTCGTCTAGAGCGGCGATGGTGTAGATTCGTGATGTGGTCGAGCGTTGCCGCTCGCATGGCTCGCCCTTTACATGTAGTGAACAGGAAGGTCAAAGCTATAGTGTTCGGTATGGTTCCTCCTGTTGACTATTCCACTTCGGCAGTCTTAGTTGTCCAGACCGGGGCGATGTGCTTGCATAGGGAATCCGAGCGCGAGAGGGATGAGGTTCCTGAGTTTGCATTGGTCTTGAGGGAATGGTACCAGTCTTGTGCGTTTTCTGGCCCCCTCCCCGGGCCTGAGGCAAGCACGTGCGTTTGGTGCGAAACTTCAAGGAGCGCGCCTGGGGGGCCTGGGGCCGTGCCCGAGCTTGCAGAGCCAAGTGTAGCGTGCAAATGTGGTTCGTGCTGCCTTGTGTGGCATAGCAAATGTGCAGGGCGGTGCGTCGAGATTTTTGCAAAGGGCGTAGGTGGCTTCTTTTCGGACGCATGGGTCTGCTTTTTGTGCAGGGCCAGCGGCCCCAGTAGTGGGCCCAGCTCATTAACTTGCAACCTGGGCGGTATGTAATTTAGGACACATAGCAATGACTGGGCTACATATCACATCCCAACAGCACGCAGCACCTGAAAACAACAAAACACAGAACACGCATCGGCCGCAGAAACTCACAGCCGTGCCCGCTCTGGAGGGAATATATATATATATATGTATGTGTATATATATATATATGTATGTTTATATATATATATATATATATATATAAACGCACACGCACGCAGCACGCATCAAACAGCACACGCCACCAACACACATAGACAGCTAGGAGGGGGCAGTAAGGAGGAGGAGGGGGGGAGGAGGAGGATCGTCGAGGCTGCACAAATAGGACACGGGTAAAGTGTTACCGTTTTCGTGCCCTGCAAAGACGCATGAATGTAATGGGGCTGGGTAAGCACACCTTTGCAACGGTATGTAATCTCGCTTTCGCCCTCCCGCCCCACTATGGTCACGGGGGCCCGTGCCCCCGGAAACAAATGGCAACAGAAAGCTGGCGGCGCGCAGGGGGGGGGGGGGGGGGGAATGGTAACAGAAAGCTGGCGGGCAACTATACGCACAAGTTATAAGCTCTTGTCAGACTACCGCGTACCGGATGCAACATAATAGGAATGCGTCGTGATTCGAGTCTTTGCTGGCTCGTTGTCCTTGCAGCGTCGCAGGAGTGGCCGAGGTGAAATCGCTGTCGGTCGACTGCAAAAACGTGAATGCCGTCGCCATCTCACGGGGTGCGGCGGGCGGGGTCGCAGCCACCATATGCTTGCATCTTGGGCTGGCCATGCAGATCAGATGCTTATCCCCTGGGGGTCGTAGCCACTGTATGCTTATGACTTGGGTCCGCCATGCAGATCAGATGCTTATCCCCTGGGGGTCGTAGCCGCCAGATGCTTATCTCCCCTGGGGGTCGTAGTCGCTAGATGCTTATCTTCACTGGGGGTCGTAATCGCCAGATGCATATCGCATGGGGGTCGTAGCCACCAGATGCTTACCCCCCCATCGGGGTCGTAGTCACCAGATGCTTATCTCCCCTGGGGGTCGTAGCCACCACATGCTTATCTCCTCTGGGGTCGTAGCCAGTTGATGCGTATCTCACCCGGGGATCGTAGCCACCAGATGCTTATCCCCCCCCCCAGGGGTCGTAGCCAGTTGATGCTGATGCCCTGGGTAAGCCATGCAGATCACGTGCTTATTCCCTGAGGTTCGTAGCCAGTTGATGCTGAAGCCCTGGGTAGGCCGTAGCGACCAGGTGCTTACCCCCCTGGGGGTCGTAGCCACTGGGTGCTTATGCCGTGGGTACACCATGCAGATCAGATGCTTATCCCGTGAGTGTAGTAGCCTGTTTGAAGCCTCCGTCGTTCAAGCGTGGTGCCCATCGGTTTAGCTGTCTACTGAACGTACGCTGCAACCTACATGGCTATGCCTAGACAGACATGGCAAATATTGTCGCTGCGCATTGCGTTGTTCTGCCGATTCTGGCGGGCCGCGCTTGAACGACGGCCAGTGGCCAAGTGATTCCGCCCCCGCCCCCCTCCTCCTCATCCCCCCCCCCTCTTCTGCTGCGTGTTGTTCGAGCTTTTTTCGGGCTCCACTCATCGGCTGATGCCGGGCATCGTCGACGTCGACGAGCATGGCCATCGTGGCCGCCTCCGCCGCCGCCGCCGCAGGCGACGAGGTGCTTGCGTGGATTCGGCGGGCCTGCGACGTCTTCGACCCCGATATGAAGTCTTTGGATGATGTGGTTGACAAGAAGCGCCCCTTGCAGGAGAAGAGGGAGTTCGTCGTCTACTGGTTCATGAGGGGCACTGGCGACTAGCTGTTTCGCCCAGTCACCTCGAACAACGAATGGGCTTTCAAGAGGAGCGTCGATAACAAGGGCAGAGGCGACAAGGGCAGCATTCAGAAGCGGAAGGAATCGTTCCTGCGGTCTGGGCTGTTGCCCACGCGAGGTGGGCCCTTCCTCTGCGAGCGCGAAGATCCAACGAGGACAGCAGAGTACACGGTGGGGCACTAAGCTACTTTCTTGGAGGGATGCGAGCGCGTGTTCCAGGAGGGCCCAGACCACCCGCACATGATAAAGATGATCAAGGAGGGCGTCGCCCATGCGAGGGTGTATGTTCGGCGAACTCCAGCGCGCGCAAGGAGCTTCATTGCCGAGCTGGGCAACGCAGAGGCTGACGTGGTGACCTTCGCCACCCCGATCGAGATGCGGCAGCGCGCCGATCGCGCCGTCGCCAGCTTCGAGGCACACAAGAAGAAGCGCAATATCGCTGTCAAGTCGATGGGTACGCAGAGCCTCTACGAGGACGAGCACTTCAAGATCGCGAACACTGTCTACCCTGGACGATGGGGGACATCGTGGCGCTGCATTCCGTAGGGATGCGCAGAAGATCGAGATCACGTCGGGGCCTTACATGGGCGACTCGTTTTTTTTGGGGGTGGGGCGATCGAGAAGGCGTTACTAGAGCCCGGCGGCTTCACCAACATGGGCCCGAAGCTGGTGAATAATGTCGTCCTGTCTGCCAATGCCCTGGCCAAGGTCAGGCGTCCATCGCAGATGGGCCGTCGCGAGCCGCGAGCCCACCCTTCTCGTGCCCCGCGCACCCCTGCACAATATCTCCTGGTGGGGCTGGCAAATCTTGGCATGTTTTCCTCTGCCAAAACACGGCACTGGTAATGGCGCCACTGGTGCCCGTTGCTGGGCCCGCGAGGGGCCTGGGAAGTTGGTGGTGGGCCGTGGTCAGTGTTAGACGCTGTCTGCGCTGGGTGGCCGAAGGTCTTGAAGGGCGCCCCCAGAGGGCCAGAGACTATCGTCGACATCTTCCTGATGATGACCCCCGCCTCGGACGTGCTCGGCAAGAGCCCCCTCCGCCCGAATGGAGCGGGCCTCCTTGACGTGACCCTGACCGACCAGCACGTTCGCGAGTGCTCAAGACGATGGAGAACACAGCAGTTTTCGAGAAGCTGAAGGAGGGCAGCAACCTGACCAAACAGAAACAGACTGCGCTGCTCAAGAACGAGAAGAAAAAGACGGAGAGGAAACTGGCCAAGGAGCGTCGACGCCGCCAAAGCGAAACCGACTTCTCGTGCCAAGGGCAAGCCAGACATCAAGGAGGCCTTTAAGGACAAGACCGCGCAGAATATGCAGGCCAATGCCAAGCGGGGCGCGTCGCCCTCTTCAGTGGCAACCCCCATCGAGGACGAGATCGCGACCAAGATGAGGGGCGACGACGGCGACGTGGATCAGCTGGAGATCACCGACAAGGACAAGACGAGCCTCGAGTTCATTTACGAGACCGAGGCCTTGTCCACACAATGGGGAGGGGGCTATGGGCTCTGGGTGCTTCTATGGGCTATGGGATCTGGGTGTTGCGGATGGTGTTGTCTTATGTTACTTCCGTTTTTAAGTGTGGCCATATGTTGCCATAGCCCATTCTTCTTTGTGGCGGACCACAAGGCGCACCTGGCTTGGCTGGGCCAGCGCCAGGCCTTCAAGGCCAGGTCCCTGAAGCTCGCCACGCTCAAGGCATGCTTCACGGGGAGCTGCGATGTCATGATCAATGGGCTCCCTCGCGTGCTCAAGCGCTGTTTTGCATCACGACTAATGTTCCGCAACCACGTGTGCAGGAGTGCCAAGCTCCAGCCACGCCCCAGCGAAGAGGCTTGGAATGCATCCTTGTGCGCCGACGTGGATCGGGAGATCCAGGAAGGCTTCTTCGGGGGGGATCGTGCCGAGGCGCCTGCCGACCGCGCAGCCACCGTCGATGAGCTTGCTGGGTTCATCCGAGTTTCGGAGGCCGTGGAGGCCGTCGCAGCCACGAAGAGTTTCTTCAAGAGGCCGATATCGACGCTGCGCCTCCCAGCTCGCCTGGCCAGCGAGGCGCTGGTGAAGCTGATGGAGTTCTCGAACAGCTCTGCCGACATGGGCGAGCCCGAAAATGGGAAGCATATCGCAGCGTTTGCTGCCGCTGGCGCTGCGGAGTCGGTCGTCGCGGAAGTCCCCATCGAGTGGGGCGACGTGGTGAAAGCTTTGGGGTCGGCAAAGCAGCGCGGGCTCGTCGAGAAGTTGCCCCGCGACGTCGCGGACTCGATCGCAGAAATCGTCGATGTGAACACGGGCTTATTGAGGGCCATGCGGCCCCAGCTCTTCTTCCACATCTTCATGAGCATCGGTCCCATGACCTACGCCTCTGTGCCGCCCCCTGCTGCTCAGAAGGCTGCGAAGTCGGTGAGGTCACCTTGCCTGCCGATGCACTGCCAGAGGGTAGTCCAGGAGCTGCTTGGGTCCTACCACATCGCTATCTTCGGCAAGGACGCACTCGCGGAGAAGCCTGCCTTCCTCTCCCAGCTGGTTAGCGGCATGTCTGCAGAAGGGGACGTCATTGGCGCGTCTTTCGTTGAGGCGCCGGGCAAATGGATGTCGGAGCCTGGCGACGTGGATGCGTTTATTTGCGCCAGTGGAGGGCAATATTCCTTGGAGAAGAAGACAGCGTTCCTCGACAAGATAAAAATGGGCCCCCGGCCGACGCGCTGAAGCGCCAGCTGGCGAGCGAGGGCATCAAGATCAAGGCGACCATCGCCCGACAGATCGAGCTCTTCCAGTCCAATCGCGAAGCCGTGGTGGAGGAGATCGCGGCCGCGCGCGCCCAGATTCACCAGGCCGAGGCAGAGGCGGCCCTCCTCTACGCGAAGACATCGGAGATCGTGATCCAGCGACTTTCGGAGAAGCATGGGGGGCCACCTAGGGTCAAGGCCCCAGTGACGGCCGAGAGTAAGAAGGACGGCGACGGCGTCGCGGTGACCGAGGTGAAGAACCCAGTGCTGACCTCAGTCGGCAACTGGTGGAGGGCCCTGCTGATGGAGGAGGGGGCCGATCCGCGTATGATTCTCAAGGCCATCGCGGCATCGGCGCAGATGAAGATCTCGGAGGTGATGATGCACCACGTGGCCGCCTACGGCACCAGCCAATATGTCAACGGCCTCTGCGTCGCGCACTGCGATCCTCGCGAGGCGGGCACGCCGAACAAGAAGATCAAGCTAGAGGTGCACCGGGTGCAGATGGCCAACAGGAGCGACGGGATGGACGTCAACCCCCCTTCTGGGGCAGGGTGATCTGCGAGGTCGAAGCCGGGTCGCTCAACAAGGCCATGTGGTTGCCGATCGGCGACAACAACGGAGCTGGCCCGAAGCTGTGCATCGAGGGCCTTGCCAACAACCTGCGGCGGAGCGACGGGCGCCTCGCTTGGGCGATTGCGCCGTTGCCTAGCAAGGAGGGCGGCGGCGCGAAGGCTGAGCAGGCCGACGAAG